ACTTGCAACCTGTTATGCTTGAGGGCCAAACCCAGAGGAAACCCAGTGTCATCGAGTTGGTTCCAACTCATAGCCCTTCCTACAAGGTTTTCAGAGCCTGTAAACCTTTACAGGAACGGACAGACAGCCTCGTCTTTCACTCCACAACTCCATGCCTCGTGGGACAGAGAGCCATGGAGACCCATGCTTTGTACCGAGGGCGGCCACCAGAGGGCAGTCCTTCCCCTGTCCCAGTTTCTAGCTAGGTCCTAGGGCACCTGAGGAGCCAGGTGCCAAAGGGAAGGTCAGTGGTTGGAAACCACCAGCTGCGCAGTGGGAGAAAGACCAGGCTCTCTACTCCCGCGACGAGATGCAGTCTTGGGAACCCACAGGGGCAGTTCTACCCTGTCCTACAGGGTGGCGACGAGTCGGAATGAGTTTAGTTTGAGGAGGGCAATTGAAGTGCCCGGGTGACGCCAATGGCACACGGTAGCCTGCGAACGGAAAGGCTGCTAGTTCAAGTCCAAGGAGAAGCAGCTCAGAGGAAAGGCCTGCTTCTCCACTTCGGGAACATCAGTCCCTCTGACGACACACAGGGGGTCACCAGGGATGAGCTGGCTCGCGGTTCGGGCTCCCCATCAGCCCGCCCGTCTCCTCACCGCCCTCGGAGTCCGAGTCCCGGTCCTGCTGCCCAGCGCTGCTCACGATGTTGGCCAGGTGCACGGCCGTCCAGGCAAAGGGCATGCGGTAGCGGCCCAGGCGGGTGCAGAACTGCTCGGCCGCCAGGCGCAGCTTCTCCAGCTTCTCCCTGTTCTGTGGGGACACAGATGTCCGCCCACATGGCAGCTCGGCACCAGCGCAGCGGGGAGGCCCCGCCCCCGCCAGGCCCCGCCCCCATGCTCACCTTGGCCGCGTCCGCCTCCTTCAGCACCATGTAGGGCTCGCAGCACTCGCTGATGTCACCCTGCTGCAGCACCTTCTCCAACTGCAGGCAGGGGGTCCAGTCGGGGTCTTACTCCCAGGCTGCACCCACCCCGCCCTGCCCCACCCCTGGGCGCCCCAACCCCCAGCCGGCACCTTGATGACCAAGAAGATGTCGGGCGAGGGGTAGGTCACAGAGAAGATGGCAGAGCGGGCCAGGGTGGAGATGGCTGGGTGGGTGCCGTGGGCTCGAAGCAGCGCCTTGGTGGACTCCGAGTTCAGGTCGAAGTAGAAGTTCTCCGAGATCTGAGGGGGGGAGGGGAGGGGGGCAGCTGGGCCACCAGCCCCAGGAAGCCCACCGCCCGGCAAGGATGAGGACCTCGCCCCTCTGACTCACAGAGACCCTGTAGGTTTCCAAGGCTGTAAATCTTTAGGGGCGCACACAGCCTCCCCCCCTTTCTCCAGGGAGGACGGGGGCTGGTGGGTTCACCCTGGCCACAGGGTTCCGGGAGGATGAGGAGGGGAGGGGCCGGGGAGGGGCTCCTACCTTCTTTTTCTCCCGCATGTCATACAGGGCCAAGATCCCAAAGATGGGCTCAATTTCGATCTCAAACCTGAGGGCGTGGAGGGGGCTGTCTGGCACGGGTCCTCCCTAACCCCTCATCCCGCCCCCCACAGCCCACCCTCCATAGACTCCATCGGGGGCCCCAGCCCAGCTCTGGTGACTCCCACTGGGCCACAAGAGGCCTTTGCAAAAGGGGAAACCGAGAAATCCTGACTGAGGAACTCACACGGGGTGCCCTCCCCCCAGCCCAGTTCAGCTGGCACGGTGGCAGCTTAGGCATGACAACCGATGTCCACCCCCACTGGCCTGAGTGGCCACCGTGACCACTGGTCTGTGGTGTTCCGCCTTGCTGCGCCCTGGGCATTGCACTGCGCCCCCTGTTGTCCAGGGAACAAACTCCTGCATGGCCTGGCCTGCGGCCTGTGCATGCTGTATTCCCCCCTTAGAGTGGGTTCCCCTCTTTCCCTCACCTCAGGAGGAGAGGTTCCTCTTCAAATCTTAGCTCAGAGCCCCCCCACCCTCAGGGAAGCTGTCCCCACCCTTTCCCACCAGGGGTCAGGAGCCTCCTCTGCCCCCACCCCCCCACCCC